CAAGAACTCTTAGATCATCCTCTGACAAATTGTTAACTAAACTCTCTGCTTGTTATTAGAGCCAGACCGATTTATCGGCAGGCCGATATTATCGGCCGATATTAGGCATTTTTGAAACTATCGGTATCAGCAGTTATAATGGCCGATAAATTAATATTTCAAAAATAAAATAAAAACGAACGAAACACGCTTCGACCATGTCATGAGTGTTGCAGTTGTATAGTTTGTCCACCAGAAGGCACTCTACACCTTCCCTGTTGGCAACACTCGTGTATAACGCGCCACACATCCTGCAATCTGCTGATCCAGCCAGATTCATGGTGAATTAGTCACGAGTCATACATTGCTTGAAATCTGTTAATGTTTTATTGCATGTTTCTGAAAAAAAAAAAAATTTATATATCGGCCGATATATCGGAATATCGGATTTTAAAACCAACAAATATTTGTATCGGTATCGGCCTTCAAAATGCTTTATCGGTCGGGCTCTACTTGTTATGTGCCCTGTCAATCATAGCAGTCTCTATTCTACATCACTCACCAATCAAAATAGGCTTTTTAACCGGCACACTCAGTGTCCAAATTCACTCACTGGTTTTCCTTCACTCTTTTAAGTGGACTATATTAGTGGAGTAATAGGGAATACTGAATGAGGGAATAGGAGGGGACTTTGAATGAAGCACTAGTTTCTACAAAAAATAAATAAATAAATAAATTCCAGCAGGGATTGGCACTCACGAGACTCAAAAAAAACAATCACAGCAAATGCCAACAACCATTAAACTCACTGTATTCGCATGTCTTCAATTTAATGGATGTGGAACACGCCTCTCCCTCCATCAGGATGTTATGATCTTCCAATAAATTGATTTTCAAGTTTTTACCACATCCTGTTGTCATCATTTCCCAGAGCCTATTTCTGTATAAGTCAACCCCAGATGAAGGGTTCGCACCTTACACCATTAATAGACAATCTTGTTAAATAGGTCCTTCAACGACTGATTTCTACTGTCTTACCTGCAAGCGCTGTTAGTTCTGAAGTAGGTATTGATTTTTTTTCCTGCAGTGAGTGCAGCTTCTCCCTTGATAATGGATCGAAGTGTGGGGTTTTCATATCTGTATGGGACCATTTGAATTCGCTTCTAGGTACTTCAATCATTCCCTTGGTTAATATATCCCATCAGAACAAACCAAAGCCTGGACGGAAGACATAACACATCATCATAACTAGATTTGCATATGTGGAAGAGAATACTAGTGCTTGCAAAGCAAGTAAAAACGATCCCCCAGAGCTGGGAAACACGGCAAAACTAAAGGACATCATAAGACGCAGGAAGGCCATTACCCTACATTTCTCAACCAAAATTGCAGACATATCACTGAGATGCTCAACTAAATGTCAGTAGTAGCAGATTTAATTGCAGACAACTGCATAGTGTCGCCATACACAAAGTAGAGTATTTAAGGAAGAGGGTTTAAATATTGTTAACACAGAGTCTGCTGGGTTAATGTGTTACGTGTCAGTTTGTGCCTGCCGGTGGTGTTATTCATGGAATGGAGAAGTGAATGTGCCTGTGCTTTGATAACACATGCTGCTCTTGCTGATTTAAACTAAGGGTGGCGTGCCATTGTGCAGAAAGACAAGCAAACAGAAGGGTCGTTGTGTGTGTGTGTGTGAGGTGTGTATGTGTGTGATGTGATTGCCATAGCCCACCCTCTAAACTGCTTGCAAATATTGTGCAAGAAGCCATATAAAATCAACAAACTTGTTAAAAAAAAGGCTAGTATTGTATAAAGATGCATTTAGATCTGTTTTTAGAAAGAAAAGCCTTTAAGGTCACGTGCAAGGTCAATACAAATTAGTTCATTGGTTGGTTGAGAATGGAACAAGTGCAGGTAATAGGATCATATTATGAGGCGGAGTATGAGGTCGAGAGCACACTAAAATAGATGCATGAACAAATTCCGGAAGTGCCGGATATGGATGCAGCTTGTTCCTACACAAATTATACTCTACATGCTTCCTCTCCAGGATTTTCTCAAAAAATGTAACATTCAGCATCAAGTTTCAATCAGTTCACTGAAATAACAATCAAACATAGACTATTGTGGCTAATGAAATTTAAATCATAGTCGCTATTAAAATCATTAGCATTCTCATATTCAAAAGTAATAAGTAGATTCCAAAGCAAATGATGTTATCTTTTGGAAACTGAAATGACCAAATGAAAAGCGTCAACATCATTGAGATGCTCACAGTGTTGCTTACTTTTAATTGCCAGGAAAGTCCTTGCAAATATATTGTAAAATGATCAATAAATCAATATTTATCTCCTAGTTCCAATAGATGCACTGGAGAAAAGGGTTAGAGATGACACCTTATGCCCCGAATCACAATATTGATATCACTCAAACATTATAAAGATCTAGGAATTCCTTAGTGGGTAGACTGGGGTTTCTATTCAATAACCACAAGCATCATGTCCTGTGGTTGGAACTTGTGAGGCATGGAGGATATTTTGATGGTGATGGCTATATCAGGAAGAGGAGGGAATCGTTGTACAAATTAATTGAATAATTTATCAAGCGAAGCCATGATTAGTCAGGTCTGAATCAATGGAGTACAGCTTGATTAGATGATCAGGCTGACCCGTAACTAGCAGACGGTCTATGATGAGCCGATATTCCGTTCTGAGTGAGTGTTAATGGCACAGATAATGAAACACTTCAATCAGATTTTATCAGCGTTGATACTGTGTCTGCAATATTGTTTACAGGCGGATGGACGGACCGATAAATAGCAGGTTTCCCAATCTCACACTGGTCTGGTTTGCGGTTTTGGACGCTTGTGAGCTGGTCAGGCTGGGAGAAATCACTAATCCCACTGAACGCCCAGGCTGAAAAATCAACTAGAACAGCTTAAACCACTTAAGACCAGCAAACCACTTTAGGCTGCACACTTAAAATACCCAGAAAGGATCCATAAAAGAAGAAAAAAGGCGATAACATATCTCTCCATTTCTGTTACTAGCCTGCAGCCAGGCTTTCTCAAGCCGTCATAAATACACATAACAGCGACACTTACATGCTAAACCACATAGCTAAACACGGATCTGTCCCACACTACAAAGCTTAAAAGATTTTTGTCTTTTTTTCTCGACTCTGCACTAGGATATAGCTTCTAGCATGATAACACCATTAGCCACACCACCGAAAGACACTTATCAATCCCTTCAGCACTAACGTCTCAGCAGCTGCACCAAATGCTATTTAGCTAGCAAGAGGATAGAAAATCCGTCCTGTTTTTTTATTTTATGTGCTGTCCAAGGGGTATTTTTAACCACGGTGTCTGCAAGAAGCCATTCATCTTTTTACTTCTCTGCACCAGGTCAGGAATCAGCAAACAGTGCAATCCCTTCTTCAGTGAGACCTCTTTGAACGTTTTTACTTCACAGAATGACTTTAAAGGCCAGCCATCAACAGGGTATTTCTCCATCAGACGTTGATTAAATGTTAATTGAATGTTGAAATAATCGTTATAATTTTTCAAACCCCAACCCTTAGTATTAATCTTCACTGCACAACCCTCCCCCATCTTTTGTGCTACGGGCACTCAAACCATGTGACGTGTGGAGAGTGTGTTATGTTTCTTGGCAATTTAAACAAATTTTTGCATGGTGGATGATAAAATGTATGAAAATCCCATTGAAGGAGGGCCCAAGACGTATCTAGGGAGCAGGATATCATACTTTGTCTCTAAAATAGAATTTTTGATCAAGCCCAGATCCCAGCCAGCCATCACCCGTATGCACAGAGTATAAGCCAGAACCCACCGCAGGCGGGGAGCTTTGGCCTGCCACTATGAATGAGCCAGGGACAAATGAGCAAGCCATGCAGATTTGTGTAATCTGTAAACATCTGTACCTCGCGGTATTTATAGAACATAGATTCTCGCAGGTGAAAACGTAAAAATATGTTATCAGATGTGCCTTTCGTTTACACGGTGGCTTAAAAGGGCTTAAAAACGCAAAAAAGTGAAACCACCCTCCAGAGTGGAAATCTTAAAAATGCTCCACCCGCGTAAAGGGTAAAAACGCAAAAGTCTGCAAGACAGTGAAGGTTGTACAAAGGCGCACGGACTTGGTGTTGTTGTGTGGCAGTGCTTCACATTACCACCTAGCTGCCTAGAGTGCATAATATCCACTTGGAAATTCACACACTTTTGCGTCACCATATGCACGCGGATTTCCCACCCATAATGCTCGTCTAAACGTATAATAAAAAGTGGTAATGAAACAGCACTTTTGCGTTTTCTCTTCGGATCGTTTCCGTGTAAACATAGCCTTAGTGGACCTGGACACTGTGGTTGATTGACTAGTAAATGAGGTAGTGCTTTCCACCGCTGGACCTGCCCAGCATGAATCCAGGTTCGTTACTCTGTTTGAAGTCTGTGTAATTGTCAATGACCCCGCCCAGCCGCCCTTACCCTCTTCCTCTGCCCCATTCAACCAGTCCGCCTGCTCTGGTTGCCTTCAGCTCTATGTCTTCTTCTCTTACTCAATGTTGTGTTAAAAAGCCTCCAGGGTCGCCCCAGCAAGTGGATCACCCAGCTCTGCCTCCAGTCACTGATCCCGTCACTCCACCTCAGTCAGTCGACCAGTCGGGTCCACTTTGGCTTCTTCCTCCCTCGGTTCCACCAGATACCATTATGGATCCTCCGGCCCTGCCTCCAGTCACTGATCCCGTCACTCCACCCCAGTCAGTCGACCAGTCGGGTCCACCTTGGCTTCTTCCTCCCTCGGTTCCACCAGATACCATTATGGATCCTCCGGCTCTAGTCGCTGATCCCGTCACTCCACCTTGTTGTGTCAACCTTTCGGCTCCACCTTGACTTTTTCCTCCCTCTGCCTCCAGCCCCTGATCCCGTCACTCCACCCCAGTCTGTCGACCAGTCGGGTCCACCTTGGCTTCTTCCTCCCTCGGTTCCAACAGATACCATTATGGATCCTCCGGCTCTGCCTCCAGTCACTGATCCCGTCACTCCACCCCAGTCCGTCGGCCAGTCGGGTCCACCTTGGCTTCTTCCTCCCTTGGTTCCAACAGATACCATTATTGATCCTCTGGCTCTCCCTCCAGTCACTGATCCCATCACTCCACCCCAGTCAGTCGACCAGTCGGGTCCACCTTGGCTTCTTCCTCCCTCGGTGCCACCAGATACCATTATGGATCCTCCGGCCCTGCCTCCAGTCACTGATCCCGTCACTCCACCCCAGTCAGTCGACCACTCGGGTCCACCTTGGCTTCTTCCTCCCTCGGTTTCACCAGATACCATTATGGATCCTCCGGCTCTAGTCGCTGATCCCGTCACTCCACCCTGTTGTGTCAACCTTTCGGCTCCACCTTGACTTTTTCCTCCCTCTGCCTCCAGCCCCTGATCCCGTCACTCCACCCCAGTCTGTCGACCAGTCGGGTCCACCTTGGCTTCTTCCTCCCTTGGTTCCAACAGATACCATTATGGATCCTCCAGCTCTGCCTCCAGTCACTGATCCCGTCACTCCACCCCAGTCCGTCGGCCAGTCGGGTCCACCTTGGCTTCTTCCTCCCTTGGTTCCAACAGATACCATTATTGATCCTCTGGCTCTCCCTCCAGTCACTGATCCCATCACTCCACCCCAGTCCGTTGACCAGTCGGGTCCACCTTGGCTTCTTCCTCCCTCGGTCCCACCAGATACCATTATGGATCCTCCGGCTCTGCCTCCAGTTACTGATCCCGTCAATCCACCCAAGTCCGTTGACCAGTCGGGCCCACCTTGGCTTCTTCCTCCCTCGGTTCCACCAGATACCATTATGGATCCTCCGTGACTTCCAGTCGCTGATCCCATCACTCCACCCCAGTCTATCGACCAGTCGGGTCAACTTTGGCTTCTCCCTTCCTCGGTTCCACCAGACACCATTATAGATCCTCCAGCTCCAGTCGCTGATCCCGTCACTCCACTTTGTTGTGTCAACCTTTTGGGTCCACCTTGACTTCTTCCTCCCTCTGCATCCAGCCCCTGATCCCGTCTCGCCACCCCGGTCGGTCTGTCTCTCCACCTTGGTTTCTCCCTCCTCACGGCTCAACAGGGCTCCCTCATCCCTCCGGCTCCACCTTGGTTAGAGGTAACTCTGCCTACGCCACGGACTTACGAGACGCCCACTGCGCTCCGTCTTCCCTCCGCCTCCGGATGTAGTTTGATTGTCTAATTATTTATCAATTTTATTATTGTACTGAACATAAATAAATACATAAATAATGAATAGTGGTTTTATTGTGTATTATATAGACAATAAAACAATATAAATCATAAATTTAGCTAATATTAATTATAATATAAATTTTTATATAAAATTATTTTTAATATAAAGATACAATATATATATTAAAACAAAGCGTCTTCATTTTTTAATGATATGGAACATTTTTTGTCCAAAAATAACTTTAACCCCAACAAATGAATCAAAACTCACTCACAAAACTCATTTTTAGACACAAAGAATGATCAGCATAACTTTGTGACTGACTCTACTGTTCTGCAAATGCACATGATATCTGATTTTTAATTCTGACATCTTTTGCTATTGATTAGAAAAAAAGGATGTTGTTTTTTTAAAACACAAAACCAACATGGATACAAAGATAACATTTCTACAATTGTGGGTGGAATATCTGATTTAAGCTAGAAAAACTATGGTATTCATTGTTCACCCAACTATCGGGTGGTTGTGCTTGGCATTCCCACATTATTTATCGCACCATCACTCTTACTTTACATTTCACAAGGGTCTAGAAAGATCCGACTGCAGAACCGACAGCCCGGGTCCTTCTGAAATTACAACACCTCCTGAACACGAGCAGGCCTGCCATTTCTCCTCAAAGCCCAACTGGATGATTAATGGGCAGGTAAAGACTTTTCCATGCCACGTCTAGATACCTCAGCTAGGCCTCAGTGCACAGATAAAAGTCAAAGCGGGATTGCAGGGCCAAGCGTTCTCCTGCTAGAACAAAGCCTCATCACACAGAATGCATTCTATGCAATCCTGCAACACGTTCAGACAGGTAGTGGATGTCGCGGAATACAGCCAGAGGAGTCTGTCAATTCTTTTCTTGCTATGTCAATTTGGACCTGAAGACAGTGACTTCACCCAATGCGACTCTGAATAAAGTGAACCGACATCAAAGACCCACAGAGCAAATATAAGCTATATATGCAAATGACTGACTGGATGTTGCCAGAGAGACAGGTTAATTGGGAAAAGGAGTGTTCCGGCAATCTGTTTCCTTCCTTTTTCTCTCACTCCATGCTGCACAGGAAAGATGAAAGACAAAACCTTGAAAGTTTTCCCCCTTTTCTTCGTTTGTTGGAGCTCAGCGTGGCTTGTTTGTTGTAGCGTGCTGCTGTATTCGCAGGACAGAAGCGAACAATTTGTTCTGAAGTTGACTGTATTCGAGTTCACGTGGAGGTCTTGATCTTGTCAGTGAGAGCTGATGACATGCTCTTGGATTTCTTCAGTGACTTTTAGGCATGTGTGAACTGCCTTTGAGGATAAGAAAATATGACAGTTGTGCTTGTGTGAAACAGTCAGAAGGAGATTCTACCACAATACAATCCACCACACAAGAATGTAACACAATACACTGTATGTTTAGTTAAGCCATCAATCCATCCATCCATACATTAATCCATCCATCTGGACATTCATTCATTCATCCATCCATTTATCAAAAAGGCATTAATTAATTCATTTATATATCCATCCATCCATCCAAATATCCAGTCATCCATTTATCCAATCATCTATTCATTCATACATCCATCAAAACACATATTCATTAATCCATGCATCTATACATCCATTTATTCATCCATCCATCCATCCGACTATCCATCCATCCAACCACCCATTTATCCATTCACTTATCCATCCATCCATCCTCGCATTTATCCATCCATCTGGACATTCATTCATTCATCAAAAAGGCATTAATTCATTCATTTATCTATCCATCCATCCAAATATCCAATCATCCATTTGTCCATATATCCATTCATCTATTCATTCATCCATCCATCCATCAAAACAGGTATTCATATACATCTATACATCCATTTATTCATTCGCCTATCCATCCATTCATTCATTCATCTGACTATCCATCCATCCAACCATCTATTTATCCATTCACTTATCCATCCATCCAGATATTAATTCATAATTCATTCATCTATTTATCTATCCATCCATCAAAAATCCATCAAAAATCCATTCATCAGTCTGGCAAAATTCATTCATTCATTCATTCACCTATCAGTCCATCGAAAAATCATTCATTCTTTTATCCATTCATCCATTCATAAATTCATTCATCCATCCATCCATGTATCCAACCATCCAGTTTCCGATCCATTTAGTTATCCAGATATTCATTTATTCATTCATCCATCAATCCATCCTCCCATCCATCCATCCATCTGGAAATTCATTCATTCATTCATCCAAATATCCAATCATACATTTTCATCTATTCATTCATCAAAACACATATTCATTAATCCATACATCTATCCATCAATTTATATATTAATCTATCAGTCCATTCATTCATCTATTCATCTGATCATCCATCCATCCATCCGGATATTAATTAATTAATTATTTCATCCCTTTATATATCCATCCATCAAAAATGCATTCATTCATCCATTTATCTATCAGTCCGCCAAAAAATAATTCATTCATTAATTCATTTATTCTTTTATCCATTCATCCATTTATCAATTCATTCACCCATCCATTTATTTATTCATCTATCGATCCATTCATTCAACCATCCATCTGACTATCCATCCATCCAACCACCCATTTATACATTTGTTCATTCATTCATCTATCCATTCATTCACTTATCCATCCATCCATCCAGTTATCCATCCATCCATCCATCCTGCAGACTCAGCAGTGATGCAGCAGTGATCCTGACCAGCAGTGCAGGAAAACAAGATCCATGCATTCAAACAAGTTTGAACCCAGAGGTCTACATTGCAATCACTGCCTATTCATTAAATTCCACTGGAGGACCTGGATGAAGCCTAACGCGCAATTAAATTGATTTTAATCCCCGGATATGGTCTAATTATTTTGCATTAGAAGTTGTGGGAGAGGTGAATTGGAGTGGAATTAATGTGAATTATTCTAAAAGTGAAAAACACACACTTGGAACAAATTGACATCCCACTTGGCAGAAATTAAAAATAAAAGAGATGCGTAGAGAGGAGCTGATCGTGTAAAAGGGAAGTGACTCTATAATTTTAGATCATTATCTTTTTGATGTCAACATGAAAAGATATCTGCGACCCAGTTTACCTTGACATAAAAAGGGGGGCTCAATTTATATGTTTATTTTTTGGGAATAAAATGCACCAATAAATCACAAGCAATAAATGCCGGAATATTCATTGAACAAGTAAATGGGGTCAGATTTGATTTTATAAATATATTTAACCAGAGAAAATCTCATTTGTTTTTTGCATTATGTGCATACATACATACATGCATACATATGTAGCTTTTATTTATTCATTTATTTATCTATTAATAATGTACACGCTGAAAGAATAATGTTCAAAACAAATATTTTGTCTTGTTTTTATGAAGCCTAAGCCAAATACATAAATAAATAGATTATAAGTATTTTTGTCCTCTTTTAGGACACAATATATAAAGTCTTGTTTTTATGAAAAAGAAAAGTATCAACATTAAGTGACTTTATGTTTTAAATAATAAGAAATATCTGCCAACTGGGTTAGAAAAAGTAAATCTTGTTTTTCCTTTGAATAACGTTTACTTTTTTGAGTCAATTGGTGCTTTTTTCTTGTTTTATGTATAAAAACCCACTTAGTTTTAATACTTTTTTAATTTACATTAAGTCATTTTGAAGTAAATGTATCTTGATTTAAGAATGCTTAGATATTTGTACCGTAAAAAATGCAAAAATACTGAGTAAGAAAATCATATTTGCTGTGTTCAAAATAAATATATAATAAAGCTGTAAATAAATAAATAAATAAATAAAGCCAGGGTCATTGTCCATTTATTTAATTATTTATTTATTTGTCCATTCATTCACCACATTTACCCTTATCAAGCATGTGTGCAACTACATGTGGAGATTAGTTATATAAACAACAGCATGTGTCTAAACACAAATATATGATATAAAACAATATTTCTAATATAAACAAAAATATCATGTTTTTTTAACCATTAGAACTATTAAAAAATGAATGGATTAATTGCAAATCTCAAATTGCACGCACTACAGGTGCCAACGAGGCCATAAATAATATATTTATCATCAGGAAACAATACGGAGTGTAGTACAATGCAACCAGTAATTTAGCATTTTTAGCCCACCAGCATGAAAATTACTGATGTATTCTTATTAAACTTTCAGCTCTTCTAGTTCGATAGGACCGTTTCCATAGTAACCACACAAAGAATGTGCGCCTGAGAGCCGAACTGAGCGCTACCCTTTCTCTCTCCTAGACTCTCTTTCTAGGTAATAGATATTTGCTTGAAGGTGACATCACTCATGCTGTTGTTGGCTTCTGAACACACAGACAAGAATGTATGGCAAATTATAAAGAAGTTCAATTCAAAAGGCATCATAATGGGGATTCTTCTGCCTGATATGTGATGATGTGCTAGAATAAGACAAGCTGATTGATATTCAGAGCAACTTAAAGGATTACAAACATCTTGTTCAAACCAAGAGGTATGAAATTGTACAAAATCATTTGTTTTCTAGCTCTATAAAAGGAGTA